AGGGAAGAAGCTGTTCTCAAGGAAAAGGTGAAGTCGTAGGAAGATTAGCACCTTAGGTCTTTTGAAAACTCTAAATAATGGCCAGTTATGATCTTCATGTCAGTCTTTCTCTGGTCACTTGTTCTATTTTATTTTGGCCAAAATTTAAGCCGCTTAATGTAACCAAGAAACTTCACAGTGGTTACATGATTTCAGAAAGGGTATTTCCAGGAAATTCTGAACTGTAACATGAATGAAGCTCAGGCAAGAATGTGAGATGAAGAGAATTATAGTAATGGGTGCAAAATTGCAGTCAGGCAGGAGAAAACTTCCAATATTTCATCACGCAGTAGGTGAAGATATTTAATGATAGCTTATTTTATTTTAACTTCCAAATAACCAGAAGACAGGATTTTTTTTTGAAGGCTTTTACCATTAGGAATAGATAAATGTTTTAGACAATGAATATTCTATTTACATTGATTATTCATTATATTAATGTGTGCATAAATATGTACAGTTATGCTAATTTTAAAAATTTAAAAATTGTCTACCAAATGCTATTTCAAATATTTTATAAAACTCATTAAACTTTCTTAAAAATTTCTCTGCTCTCCAGATAATCTGGAAAGTGGAAAATCAATGAAAAAGTGGCATTTGCCTTATTACAGGTATTCACCCACAAGGTCTTAGGAAATGTCTTCAGAAAGCATGGTAAAACTGGCTGCAACTGAATGCCTCTAGCATTTTCTAGGACTCACTCTGAACCTTCAGCTTCAAAGGCTGATGTTTGAGCAAATAGCCTAAGCCTATGGGACCCAGGACCAGCTTCCTGAGCTGGAAATCTATGCGGTTTGGCTGACTTGAAACTGTCGTCTTCTACAACAAGCCCCATGTTTTGATCTGTTCTAAGCTCAACAAATTGTTGTGCAGACTATGCTATAGACCTGTGTAAGTGAAGCTCTGAGATCTAAAAAAAAAAAAAAAGAAAGATAATGTCACCTCTTCCTTTTTGTATTATGTTTTTATTGATTTATTTCATACTGACAATCTCTTTGCTTTCTTTTCCTCCATCATGGAATTATATTTAGAGGACACAGGCAGCAATATGCATTTCTGCCTAATGCTTCATCCTTCACCCATTGCTCCTCCTGGGGAATAGTCTGGAAAAATACATGTTTACAGAACCGATTTGTACTCAGGGTATAAAAATGGCAGAAATTGCCAATCCCAGATTAGATGAGTGAGAAGTAAACATCCACTCCACCATGGTCGGTATATTTGAACAGCTGTGTTAAGAAATATCATCTCAGTGTCATTTTTAGCACTTAGTTCTACCTCCAGTTCTTATCAGCAGAACACAGGGTCCAGAACTTTAAAATCAAGCAGAGAATAACAAAGAGAGAGTTGGGAGCTGGGAGATGGCTCCAGATAAAGTGCTTCCCATGCAAGCAAGAGGACTACAGTTTGGAAATCCCAAGATCAGGTAAAAGCCAAGAAGTTCCAACAGCCAGTCTATAACCCCAGAGACATGCGGATCCCTGGAGCAAGCTTGCTAGCTAGGCCAGCCGAATAGGCAAGCTCTCGGTTCAGAGAGAGACCTCACCTGAATAAATAAATTACAGGTCAATCAAGGAAAACACCTGGCATCAATCTTTGTCTTACACACACACACACACACACACACACACACACACACCTTAAAAGAAAAAGAATTAAAGAGAGAAGCTGCTTAAGGACATACGTCATCACAAACTCCCACTTCCTTATCTCCTCCAAACTCTCCTAACAGTCTCTCCAGTGGCAGGTCCCACTGACTTCATGTATGTTGACATTTAAGACACACTCAACTATGCCTGAAAAGCATCCATTTGCAATATCCATTTGATCTCCCAATTATGCCCCAGATTAGTAAACAAATGTTGCAATTACCAACTTCTCTTTGTTCATTTGTTTATGTCACCAGTTAAAGAATAGTAACATAGTTAATAAATCTGCCACATGTAATATTTCCCAACCTACTGTTGTATTTCAACTTCACTAAAATAACCTCAATGAGAGTCATAGAGACGCTCAATGGTAAGGAGCACTGGCTACTTGTCTAGAGGGTCCAGGTCCAATTCCCAGCAGTCCACAACTACCTATAACTCCAATTCCAGGGGATCTGATGCCCTCTCTGACCTCGATGAGCACTGCAAGCTTATAATGCGCAGGTATACATGCAGACAAAATATCCACACACATAAAAATAATAATTAAGAAAATATTCTCAAAGTATATTCTATGGTGTTATAAAAATGATTTTCAAAACACACACACACACACACACACACACACACACACACACAAAATGAACGCCTGACAAGCTCTAATGCTGCAGTCAAAATTTCAGGATAAATTGGTTGTAAAGCAGCTATAATACTGAAACATAGATGTGTTCTGTGTAATCCATTCAGACTTCACAGACATTGTGGCTCTTGTTTACAATAACTGTTTTGTCTTCTTTGCCAAAAATCTTGCTGATCTTCAAGTCTTGATCAAGAAAATTCAAAATTAGAGAACCATTGATTACAAACACACACACACACACACACACACACACACACACAACTGTTTATCTCCAAATAGTTACCAAACTAATCCTATGCTGTTGATAATAACAGCTCAGTGTATATTTCAGCATCGGAATATTTTAATGTAGTGGATTATAAGCTAGTAAACTTACTTATAACATTTTTATCTCATTACATTACTAATTAATAACAATTCTGTCCTGAAAAGAAAACTGAATTCTAGAACACCAGAAAAATCAACATTTCTAAAGTATTAAAATCATTATACATTTGAAAATAACACTTTTTCTTAAAGATATTTTAAAATCAGATAAAATAAACACCACTTATGTAATATGTTTGTTTGTTATTTGATTCTAGACTATGGTACCAGAACTGGTAAATCACAGTCCCTAACTACTAGAAGATTACATGTCCTTACATGAGGAAGCATATAAAATAAATGAACAGTGTACAGGTATCTTCATCTACATAAAAAGATAATTAAAGCAATATATATTTTGCCTTCAGAAATCAATACATAGGACAGAGACTTTTAAAATATGCTTAAAGAAAACGGCTGATTGCCAGGGTAGTATGATTTAAGCAATGGCATTAAACCCAGAAAGAATAATCCAATTAGATGAGGGTAACAGTGAAACACATTACGAGAGAGAGAGAGAGAGAGAGAGAGAGAGAGAGAGAGAGAGAGAGAGAGAGAAATGTCATTCTTGTTCAAACCAGGGGAAGAGTTTCATGCGGGTCTCAGGATTATCTTCCCCATGTAAGGGTGAAATTCCCCCGATGCTGTCATGCTCAGTTATGAGGTATATAAATATGTCTGTTCAGAGTCCATGCTCATCACATAAACTCCCTGACAATCTGGCTCTCACCATCGCTTATCTGGAAGGATCGAAAACACTTATCCAATAAGTGTGAATGTCAAGTTGCTTCCCCAGGTGTTTTCATTTTAAATTGACAGAATGGGCTCCGTGAGGTGTCCTCTGTGTCAGTTAGCATCTTGGTCCCCAATCATTCTTATTAGCTGAGACACGGATGAGGCTGGTTTCTGAGCACAGGAGGCTAAATGTCTGTCTCTGGACTGTAGCGACGTCACCTGGTAAACAAATAAATACCATCCTGGGGCATTCTGACAACGTGACCTGGCTGGCCTTCAAAAAGCAAAATCCTTCTTTCTACTCATCCTCATGACACGTGCACTTAGGGGTGCTGAAGTCAGTCCGGTGACATAGGCAGCTCAGTGGGTAAAAGTGTTTGCCCCCCAGCCTGACAACCTGAGTTCAGTCCCCAGGACCCAGGTGGTGGGAGAAAAGAACTTAGTCACTCAAATTGTCCTCTGACCTCCCTGTGGGTGCCGTGGTACACACACACACACACACACACACACACACACACACACACACACACACTCACACACACATATGTACGCATACACACACACTCACACACACTCACACATACACTCACACACACATATGTACACATACACACACATATGTACGCATACACACACACTCACACACACACTCACACACACACATATGTATGCATACACACAAACAAATAAATATAAAAATTTAACGTTCTAAAATAATGGCCTATCATAGATATGCAAGCAGCATAGGAAGCTCTTCCTGACGTGCCTGATAATGAATGAGAGAACAGAAGCTCACTTGTTAGCTGACATTTAGCTTTAAGTGGCTAAGGGAGAAAGAATTTTCTAGAAAAAAAGAATCCATTCCAAAGATCTAGAAAATGTAAGAAAGCATGGGCAGAAGAGCAGAGTTTAGAGTGTCTCAAGTATAGACTGGGGAAAGTTGGACAGCTACCATTGGACAGGTGGCATATGACAAGTTTTGAGAGATTTTATACATGCTTCTGGTAAATTCTGAGAGCACACTGTGTGCTAGGTCCTAGGAAGATACCTTGGGTCACACCATTAAATCAGATCTGACATTATAGTATGGCAGATGGAAAGCAGGAAGTTTAATAGGAGGACTACCGATGGTGTTTTTAAAAAGCTGTCAGCGCCCATTGTAGTGCATAGAAGAAAGTTTGTGGATACAGACTGAGACTTTTGTGAGACCTCCTTACAAGACTTTGGACTTGCGTCTTGGAATTAGATTTGAGGAGGGTTCCAGCCACTCCTTAACATCTCTCTACCTCCACCATTTATACCAATAAAGTATAAACGAATGCCTCCTTTCCTTCTGAGAATCTAGAAATTTTGGTATGTACTAGGCAGACTGTACCTATGTGAGCAGCCACCAATAAAAAGTTGGGGTTTGAATTTCTATTGCGCCTGTCTTGTGGACAACATTGTTTATGTTACCTTGCTCAGTGTTTAAATAGGTGAATCCTGTGTTTCTCCATGGGGATAGCAGAAAGAACAGACCAGGATCACAATAGCATAACTTTGCCCTTTGCTGTTTGTTTTGTATCCTTCAGTTATACAAAGCTTAGCTGTGACTGCAGCCCAAGTCCTCAATGCCCCTCAGAGGATGTCAATGAAACTAGAAGAGATTCTGGACACACCCACAACAGAGGTACTAGAAAAAATACCTGGCTGGAATACTGGAAGAGAAGTGGCTGGGAAAAATAGTGGCTGGAAACTGGAAGAGAAGCTCATGATGAGAAATTCAAAACTAACATTCAGAATTCTTAATAAATGACCTGATATATGCCAACATTATTAAACAACTTTTTAATTAAATTTCCTTCATTTATTTTACATCCCAGCCACAGTTTCTCCTCCCTCCTCCCTTTCCTTATCACCTTCCCTCTGCACACACACACACACCCCACACACACACACACACACATCCACTCCTCCTCTGTTTCTGTTCAGAAAGGGGCAGGCCTCCCATGGGTGTCAATAAAGCATGGTATATCAAGCTGCTGTAGGACTAAGCTCCTCTATTGTATTAAGGCTGGATGAGGCAACTCAGTATGAGGAATAGGTTCCTAAAAGCCTGCTCAAGTGTTAGGGACAGGCCCTGATACCACTGCTAGGAGTCCCACAAATAGACCAAGTTACATAACTGCTACACGTGTAGAGGCCTCAGAGGAAATACAGAGACCTTGCTCTTGTTAACGTATCTATGAGAGTCTTAAATTCAGGAAAGTAAAGCAAGTGCTGATGAAGGAAGTCTGAAGATACAGGACAGTCAGTAGGATGACCAAACACAGCTGCATTCTCAGGAATTTTCCTAGATCTTAACTTATCAATAAAAGCAATTTAACGAATGCCTTCAGGGTCTTATGTGTGGTCTATTATCACAAATGAGACACTAGGCAGGGCATGTGCATATCGCAAAAATAATGTAGATCAGCCTGTTCCAAAGTCATCCAGGAGCATGTCTACCAGTGAAATGACGACACAATCCATTGGTTTTCTCATTTGCTCTCACCCTCCCCAAATCCATTTGGTCTCAAACTCCCCACCCATGTCAGTCCCTCAATAGTGTCCTCATTAACACACAAGAACAAAAGTGAACACAAGGCTTTAACACATGTAACACATACACTGTGGAAATAGACTTATTTTATAAAATAAGAGTCTTGGAGCTGGACAGATGGCTCAGTAAGCAGGAGCCCTGGATGTTCTTGCTGAGGATCTGAGTTCAGTTCCCAGCATCCATGCTGGACAGCTGTCAACCACCTATAATTCCTGTAGGAGATCTGATGCCCTCTTCAAACCTTCATAGGTACCTGCATTCACAGGCAAATATTCTACAATCATACACACACACACACACACACACACACACACACACACACACACTAAAAATAAAATAAATTTTCAAAAGTAAATAATAAAAGGAACGTTTTTCCTCCTCATTCTCTCATATGATATCTCATATGATGTTCATCATAGAAACTATTATAGCTTCCAAAATCTTAAGAATATTTTCATTATTTAATATCATCAATCCATTATGTATGCATGTGTGTATATGCAAGACTTCCAGAGCAGGATGTATTTTATATCTTTTTATGCTCTTTTCTACATTAAAGTTGAATAAATGTATGATTAAGTTTAGTTTTATTCTTTCTTTTTTACAAGATTACTCCTATAAATAAAGGTACAAAGATAACTGTCATATATCAAACATTGGACAGAAAATGAAATCAAAGTGCCTATAAAAATGTGTTCACCCTTCAATTATGGCAGAATATGGGAAGAACAGAAGGTCAAGAAGTTAAATTGAAATTAGAATGACTTCAAGTTAAATGGCAAAAAAACATTTAAGGATGAGTCCCATGCAGTGTCCAATGCTGGCACGTGCTCTTACAGCAGGCACCCTACGCCCTATGGCACTCCGTTACCCTTCTGTAGGGAAGAAAAAATAAAATGTCAGCAGTCATGTTCCAAGAACTGCATTATCTCCTTGTGCTCAGAGTAATAAATTCCATTAATATGCATAATTTTCTGTATATCAGGCACCATAATAACCACTTTGTAATAGCTTGTCTCATAAACCCCTAAATCAAACTAATTAATTAAAATCAATTCCTAGTTCTGTAGATTAGATGAGTGAGACTTAGAAGAAAGTAAATAAATGATCGAGTATGCCTCCGCAGTGAGCAAAGAGGTCAGGCCTGAACTCAGCAGTTGCAATGTCATCTGTGCCACAGACCTTGGGACAGCAAAGTTAAAGCCTGGCAAAGAGGAGTGATATTCGTGGGACTTGGAATGGAAGCTAATTACGTCCAGCGTGAACATTCATTCAGTGGACCTCATAATTATGTGTACAGCGCTTTATCATGTGCAAATCATCTCATCTCCCTCATACCACATGCCGTTGCCTCACAATAACCCTGTAGACTCCATTCCACAAAGGACTCCTATAACTTCTTCTCCTTATTTGAAATTGCATTTCTGAAGAGCTGACAGAACTCAAGTGTTGTATCCACAAGCCTCGGCTAGCCCCGCTTTAACACATTACCTAGACATCCGTGTGTGTATTAGTTACTTTCCTATTGCGATGATAAGACACCATGGCCAAGGCAACTTATAAAAGAAAGTGTTTAATTTAGGCTTACAGTTTCAGAGGGTTAGAAAGAATCCATGATGGCAAGAGAGCAAAAGCACAGTGGCAGAAACAGCTAAAGCTCGTGTCTCAGAAACAACGAGCAGGAGGCGGAAAGCACGCCGAGAATTCCAGGAGTCCCGTGAAACCTCAAGCCATATCCAGGAGCCCACCTCCTAATCCTTCTCAAACGGTCCACCAACTGGGTACGAAGTATCAAATATATGAGCCTATGGAGGGCATTCTCATTCAAACCACCACAATGTATAATTAGGATAGAAGTCGGGAAACCCCTGAAAGAAAACTTATGAATCACCCCTGTGGACATTTTGAAAGCTTAAAACAAATTCATCTTTTGACCGTGAGAAATACAATATGTATTGATTCTTTGTCCATAATGACTTCAGTTCTAACTGAAAATCCTGGGAAGGAATCCTAACTTCCAACTACAGGAGACCTTGAAAGAGGAGGGAATACCTACCACATAATGCTCTGATACAAAGGGCAAAGGGCAACCTGATACTCTGAGGTAAGGGAACATGGAAGATTTTGGAGAGAAAGAAGGCTCATGATATCAGACAAATCCCTTCCAGGGCTGACAGACAGTTATATAACATACCTGCAGACAAAGAGACAATTTCGTCAAGTGTTACAGTCCCTATCCATGCTCTAAATTAAGCCCAAATTTAAAGTGTGTCTGTGCAACTGATAGCTGACTTTCTCCATCAACATTTCATTTGTAACCAAGTATATTTAGGCATGCACATATGTCAAGCTGCATTATAAAATTAAAATTAAGAAAATGGGTGAAAAGAGAAAGCTTTGAAAGAATGCCACCCAAAAGAATTTTCAGTGAGCTATAAATAAGAAGCCCCTGAACATGACTGAAAGAGAAAAATGATTCACAAAAGTTGCCCTCTGACCTCCACATGTGTGTCATGTACCTGTACATACATACATACACACACACACATACACTGCATACATATACAATGACTATATGTGTGTAGAGAGAAAATTTTAATACTAAAAGAAATGTATGAATAAAAAATCTAGGTTGCTTTCCTTGTAACCACTGAAAGATGAAAATTCTTATTTATGGAAAAGCCATCTGAATTTTTTGGTTTTATAACCAAAACTTCTGGGAAATGTGGAAATCACGGGTATGAAAAGAGCACAGTTAAATTTTTAAGTGGCACTTGGATGCCACTAAAAGTGTAACAGAAGCTGTTTTTAGTGTGCATGGTATCAGCAACTGACCATGTATATTTGGGAATGGCCACTGAGTGACCATCCATAAAGAAATTTCCCTTAAGGATGGCTTTCCACTTGAAAGAAGATTGGTAAGCCCCCAAGTAGTCAGCTTATGTCTGTGGTTCAAGGTCATTTAGATAAGTGATTTTCAACCTTCCTGATGCTATGATCCTTTAACACAATTCTTCATGCTTCAGTGACTCCCAACTATAAAATTATTTTTGTTGCTACTTCATCACTGTATTTTTGCTATCATTGTAAATCATAATGTAAATATATGATATGCAGATGGTCTTAGGTGACCCCTGTCAAAGGGTTGTTCAATCTCCAAAGGGTCACAGCCCACAGATTGAGAACTGATGATTTAGAGGGAGTTTCTAAAATTCATGAAGGGAAAAATCTACAAGTAGTGACAAGACTGAAGAGTGAACAGAAATGAAGCCATATATTTTGTTGGCGAAGGAGAGCTTGTGCTGTGTGGAATCACCTAAACACCTTAATGAAAAACTGGCCAATAAGAATAAAGGCATTCTTGTGTACTTGTGTTGTTTAGAGAATGCATGCAGGTCTGAGTAACAGACACTGGGCCTTATCCTCAGCCTCCCAGAAACAGAACATAGATCTGGGGAAGTCTTATATCCATAGTTAGGGGTACTCAGTGGGAAATACAGAAGTGATCTGGCAACTCTCCAAAGCAACTGAGAGCCTAGATCCACTCTAGCCTTCCATTCCTCCATGTGCTGTTCCTCTGAATTCACGTCTGTAGGTGTTGTGTGACTTCCTTGGGAAATGTGAGCATCTCTTTGTCATGGATAAGATACACATAGACCAAAGTAACTGTTACTTCCAAGTCCTGGTATTATTAAGATCTCACTTGGCTACCTGGTACTTGTTTCAGTCAAAAGAATTCACAGGAAACCCACAATACAGTGTAGAAGATAGAATTTATTACAAAGTGAAGTGAGGCATCTTCAAGAGACAAGTGTGGGCAGTGCATTCACACACAAATGCACACACACACATTGAATACATAGATATCATATATTTATTTTTGTTTTATAGTGTATATTGTACTTTTTATATATTTTGCATATACAAAATATTAATGTAATTCCAACATGAGAATTTTTTTCAATGTCTTCATAATTAGACATATCTAAACTGATCTGATTAAGGACCTTTATCATTAACCATACTTACTTTTCACTTTCTGATAACAGAAAAAAAAGATAGAGTTTCTTCACATTCCTTTTCTTTGATGCTTTCACAAGGCCTTCTCATGGGATATTCAATGTGGAGGAAGCACATCAAAGATGGCAATTAGTGTTTTGATCAAGACAGTATGCCACATTTCATTATTCAATTTGTATCGGGTATTTTGACCTTTGAAGAGAATTTTCCTTTCTACTTAAAGACCAAAGGATTT